CCTACAGAACCTACCTTTTCAGGGTTCCTTAACATGATTTCGCCTTTAATGAAAGATAGGTTATTCGGGGTGAAGGTGACCCTAAGTCGTGGCATGAACCTCATACCCTTTCAGGGTTCATTTCGCTTTTGAAGTGTGCGCTGTTGTCCATTTGCTCTGTGGCGCAAATCCATCCCTGAACCCTAAACCTAAACCCTAACCCTGAATCCCAAACCCGAAGCCCAAGCCCTGAGCTGTCAGCCCTGTCCCTAAAGGGCCAAGTTTAGGGGTCCAGGGTTTAGGGTTTAGGGCCAAGTTTAGGGGTCCAGGGTTTAGGGTCTAGTTTAGGCTTTCTAGATGCTTTCGCCCTAGTTGTGGGCAGGCCACCTGGTAGATACCATCCCAAAGCCATCATGAACGCCTTTAACCCTAAACCTTAAACCCTAAACCCTAAACCCTAAACCCTGAACCCTAAACCCTAAACCCTAAACCCCAACCCTGAACCTTAAACGCGATTATGAACCTCAGTTCAACTCGCGGTTGGTGTGGTGAATCCTCAACCCCTAAACCCTAAACCCTAAAGTCTAACCCTTGGCATCAACATAGCCCACTATAATAGCATCTCTGGGCCAAAAGCCTCAAAATATGAGTCCTTTGAGGGTAAGGGTAAACCCTAGACTCTAAACCCCAACCACGCTGTAAGAGTGAATGAAGCCCTACAGCGACTACAGCGACACCGTTACAAGACTGTGGTCGCACCTATGAAGCCTTTCGGGCTCACAGTGTGCGGCATCACATCACCCGTAGACACCCCAAGCCCTGAACCCTAAACAACCCAAGCCTGGAGACCTAGATCCTAAACCAAAACACCCTAAATCGTAGATCCTAGTATTGGGTAAGCCCGGTAAGCCCTTAGATGCCCTAAACCCTATAGATCCTAATACTGGGCAAGCCCTTGAGAACGCCCTAAACCCTAAACCCTATAAACCCTCAGCTCTCAACCCTCAACCCTAAACCCTAAACCCTAAACCCCTAAACCCTCAACCCTACCTTAAACTGCAAAAGTTCAAGGCAACGCCTGCGCAAGAAGCTCGGGAAAGTGCTGCATCAGGAAGAGTTCGAGCAGGCGTGAGGTTTAGGGTTTAGGGTTTAGGGTTTTGGGTTTAGGGTTTAGGGGTTTAGGGTTTAGGGGTTTAGGGGTTTAGGGGTTTAGGGTTTAGGGTAAACCCTAAACCCTAAATCCCTTAAAAGAACCCTTAATCCTAAAGGCCCATAAGAAGTCTCTTAAAGGAACCCTTAAGGGAACCCTAAACCCTAAATCCTAAAGCCTTCAAAGGGATTTTACCTCCATGGGGTTTGGGGGTTCGGGGTTTAGGAATTTCGGGTTTAGGGTTTTCCTTTCGGGGTTTGGGGGTTTGGGGACGTTCTTTTCGGGGCTTAGGGGGTTTAGGGTTTTCCTTTAGGGGTTTGGGGGTTTGGGGGTTAAGAATTTAGGGTTTAGGGTTTTCCTTTCAGGAATGGGGGTCGGGGGCTGTTCTTTTCGGGGCTTAGGGGGTTTAGGGTTTTCCTTTAGGGGTTTGGGGGTTTGGGGTTTAGGAGTTTCGGGTTTAGGGTTTTCCTTTCGGGGTTTGGGGGTTGGGGGCTGTTCTTTTCGGGGCTTAGGGGGTTTAGGGTTTTCCTTTAGGGGTTTGGGGGTTTGCGGTTTAGGAATTTAGGGTTTAGGGGTTTTCCTTTCGGG